TGGTTACTTCGGTTTTCTTCTTTTTAAAAAATCAAAATTTATATCCAAACCATACCAAAACCCCTAACCTAACTAATCAAATTTCAAATCGAAATAACCAACTAACCCAATTTATCCAAAATTTTAACAACATTAAACCAAAATTTAGCTAAAATCAAAAACTTAGGTAAAATTTTTAAAAACCAAACTAACCGAATACCGAACAAAACTTTATTTTGGTTAATTCGGTAAGATTTATGTTGAATCAAACTAACCGAATATCGAACTACCAAAACCGAATAACCCGAACTAACCGAACCGACATACCAAATTATATGTAATGAACCCATTAGTTGTTGTTAGATGCTTTTTAACAAAGATCAAACTTACCCATAACCGTTGAAGTCTCTTACAAAACTGAATAAACCTTACGAGATGATTCCCTTGGATCTCAGCTGCATAGCTGAGATTCAAGGAGGTAAGATTTTCGCAAATCGGGTAAAACGCGGTTAGACAAAGTGGAGCAACCTCTGAGAACCCTGACAAGCTTCTTAACTCGGTGCATTTCTTAATAGCATCCATAAGCTTCACGAAAGATTCTTGATCTGGCTCATTCTCATAAGACCCTACTCCCAAATCCACTAGCTGAGGAGCACAGCTCATTAGCCTCGTCAGCGCATCAAGAGGCACTGCACGGTTTACCTTCAAACTCTCCAGGTTTGGTGACCTCGCCACGAGTCTCTCTAGAGCAGCAAGATTGGTTTCTCCTTTGAGGCATGAGAAGTTTAACGAAGTAAGAGCGGTTGAGGTTTCGGGAAAACAGTTGAGCCATTGACCTCTGTGATCCTCGATCTCATTCTCTTGCAAGTCAAGCTCACGAAGATGCCTAAATTAAAAAGATCAACACACATTAACATTGTTAAGAGATGAACGCTACGTTTCAATTACATCTTTATTACCTGCAATTAGCAGCAATGGAGGCTAAGCCATCAGTAGTAAACCCTTCACAGCTAACAAGAACCAAAGACTTGAAACTCGCAAAGGAACGTGAGAGCAGCTCAAGGCTTTCGTCAGAGACAACCATTCTCTTCAACCTAAGCTCCTCGAGCCCTACACGTGCCTTAGCTAAAGCATCGATCCAGGGGTGAACAAAGCCTCCCCATTCATGAGGAACCAAGTTGAAGTCAGCGAAATGAGGCTTTCCTTTGAGAGTCAACGATCTGAGAGATGGGAACCTCTCTATTAGCCTCTCTGGATTGATGGCGTAGCAGTTTCCGATGAACACTTTCTTCCTGCTACACCTCTCGATCTTGTGCCATGATTTGCTTACCAGAGAGATTGAGTTTCTGTCTTTGTGAGATGCTATGAAGTCGAAGATGTGCTCAATCACCTCGTCAGGGAAGTAATTCATCTTCCCCTTGTAGATATCTGAGCCTTAATAGATCGAGAACATGACTTCAGATCCACGCTCTATTTGAATTCAGCTCAAGAACAGAGAGCTCTGTAGGAAACAGAGTCCTGTAAAGTCCTGAGCTTTGATAAAACAGAGATCTTATAAACTCTATAAAGGCTGAAGCTTTTAGATTCAGATCTACAGGGGGATAGATAAGCTAGATCTAAGAAGGAGATGAAGTCATCAGAGAGCCCAGATGTTTGTTTATATAGAAGAAGAAGAAGAAGAAGAAGAAGAAGAAACAGAGGAACTCAACGAGGAAAACGTTGAAAATGAAGGAGAATCATGAATCGAATCTAAAGATAAACTCTGGACTGCTTCATCCAATGATGATGAGATGATCAGAGAGAGAGAGAGAGAGAAGAGATCACGCAAGCAAAGCAAAGCTCTCTCTTTTTTTCTCTTTCTTTCTTTCTCTGTGGAGAGATAAAACAGAGGAAAAGCTAACCTAGCTGACCAAAAACTAACTATGGTTAGGTTTAATCTTTTGAGAGGGTTTGATGATCCAACGGTTGAGATTGGTTTGAAGGGTAGTCACGAAAGGAATCTTGACCGTTGAAGAGTTAGTATGTGTTTGACACCACTGGTTTTTAACAAGGCCTTTCGCGAAAGAGAAAGGGTGAAGTGATGTCTTAGTGTCAGAACAAGGGACATGTTCTTAAAAAAGCCCTTTCTTTTTCCATAATATTACGATGTTGCCACGTAAAACATAATATTCCATTTACTCGCCGATTAATCAAATATTCGTTTTGTTAGTGATTAATTTAAAGAAGATTCAATGGTTGTTAGAAAGTGCAGCAATTAGGAAACTCAAATAAAATCAATCGTACAGTACTCCGATACTGCATCAAGTATATGCAATAAGACACGTCACATGTATGTAAGCTTATGAATTTAATAATCAGTTAAATAAAGTCTATGATTAATAGTTGATAAAATAAAAAATTACTTAATTATTTAGGGGATAAACAAGAAGAGGATGATAAGCAAAGCTGGCTGAATTTGTCTCTGGACGATGACACCATTGATGGATTTGCGGGATTTTAAGGTCATTCAATTTGTTTGTTTTTTTTCTCTCTTTTAATAATTTATTTAATTTGCATTTTCTAACCAAATAAAGCCAAAAAAGTAATTAAATTCCCATCTTTTAAAATTCTTTTGAAATCAATTCATGATCTAGTGTTCAATTAGTACAAATATTTTAGTAGTTTAGTATTTTATTCTCAACTGAAATTGATTTAACTTTTTTTGTTTCTATTAGGTAGATATATACATCATTTTAAAATAATCCAGAAGAATAGACAAAATCTCAAGACAACAAACATTAAGAAACAGATAAAAGGAACAAAAAAGAAAGTGGCATAGGCTTCATAATCAACCTCAATAATAGACCCACTTGCAAATTATTACATGGAGTGATAGGGGTAAAGTGTTCCAAAAAAAAAAAAAAAAAAGTGATAGGGGTAAAAAACAAAGAGTTACACAAACCAAATCATGATTACTGGTTGAAAGAAAAATTACCATTTCTCTTTGCTTCGCTAATGTTCAACATTGATGATAACTATGGATTCTATTGGTAAGTGCCAGGAACGTCTATTATCAAATAATATCAAATTAATTACCCATCATAATCCTCAGATAGGTTTCTCATTGTCTGTCTTATGTGAAAACAAATTTCAATTATTATAATATATTTTGGCTAGCTCAGTAGATTATTCATCACACAAAATTATCATGTATACAACAAACTTATCTTTATACGTAGTTGATAAGTAAACCGTTAACTAACTGTGTATGTTAATCACGATTAGTGAGCTCATTAGCTAGCCAGAACAGATGCTTATTCTGTTAAACACTTAAAACTTATGTCACTAGTATTTTCACAGATTCTCATCCTTCTATAAACTTAACATTCTTGATTGTTTATATCATCTGATGAACTCATGATAGATAGTTTGAGGATTTACTTTATTAAAAGGGGACGAGTGATGATTTCACCTCTCTTGACTCATCATATGCTACCATCCCTGCCATGTGAAGGCCATATCTCTCTCTTTATCTCATCACTTTTTAGTAATCATCTCCATTCTAACCAAGATTTCACCAGCTATAAGTGGTTTTAGTTGACTCAGATAATGCTTGTATTATTGGACTTTACTGTGCAACCAATCTCCATATCACCATAGTTAATGCGGGTAAATTATCTGGTAAATTTCGGATGTTGATGTGACTCCTCCTGTTTTTTTTTTTAACACATAACTTCTCCTGATTTTATAATCCTAAGATTTATTTATTTTTATATTAAATTACACATACATATATAAATAAATATTTGAATATTTTCTTCTTCTAGAAATTTTATCTTAAAGTTATACAAAACTCTTTATATCTCATTTTTCTTTTATCAGCTTTTTGTTTGGTTCATGAGATTCCTTTTTTCCTTTTATCCTAAGAAGCCGAAGGCTAAATTCAAAGGCCCAAAAAGCAGAGACTCATGATGACGCATGTCCCAATTATTCATACACATACAAACAACATTACACGAATTTCACCACCATGCCAACCACACATATCATATCATATACACATTGGATTATATTAAATATGTATGAATCTCCCAAAATGAGATTCGGAAAGGAACCCTTTTCAGTTCTCATTGTCACTCCCTGGTGGTCCAGTTATTTGTTTTTGCATTAAAAACATAAGAGAGATGATGATATTCTCCTGACAAAAAAAATCTGAATCTCATATAATTGAACTATGCGAATCTATGTAGAACATTTTAATCCCTCACAGAGATTCGCTGCGACAAACATAGATTTAGTTGAGTAGCTTTAAGCTTACAAAAGTTATAATCCGTAGAGAAGCAGTCAGAATAGACTCTCTTACAAGCTAAATGTAAATCACAGCTAAAAACGACCTCACGTACATGACAATCACAGAACAACTTTAACATCGCCCTATGAAGTTACAATCCAAATGAGTTATGTTAGTCCCTTGACTAGGGTTGAGGCCAGAACGATTAGGATGATAACTGAAAGTTTGTATCTTTACTAATCATCGACACCAAAAGTGAAAAGTATTACCAACAGAAAGATCTTGATCATTCTCTCTAACTAGTTTTAGCTTGCTAACCCAATCCCCTCTCACTAACCCCTAATACACAGTTATATGAGAACTGAAAGTTTGCATCTTTAATAATCATCAAAATCAAAAGTCCCATCTACGACTTGGGTTTCATTTCATTGCACTCAACTAAAACGGAAAACAAGAATAACAACTAGTTTATTCAAAGACTTAACATAGGCTGCATCATCATCATCATCTATCTCATTAATGTTCACTTCAATGCATGATGTCAAAGATCATTGGGTCTATTCTAATTTCTCAAACAAGGTTCATCTACGCAGCAGGATCATTCATGGCCTCCTCCATTAGAGTAAATCCTACTGATTCAATACTAGTTTTCTCTAATGCTAAGTCACAAGCTTTTATAGCAACGAACTTAAGACTCTCACAGAATCGAGAAAAGATGAACAAATTTAAGAATCAAAACGGAACTAGATCAGTTGAAAAATGCAATAAGATCATAGACATATATATATAATATAGCTCACGTTGGTCCAAAGCTTTCGAAACATTAGATTATAACCAATAGTCACTGAACATACAAATTCTCTTAACACTAACCAACCTTAAGCATCACTATCGTCACTGCTATCATCATCCTCCTCCTCCTCGTGGTTTCCGATACGGTCATTGGAGATGTAGACTCCAGGCTGGAACGATCGTCTCCTAGTCCTTGACGGAAGGATATTATCCAAATCAACCTCAGCCAAAGGATCTTCAGACAAATCACTTTCATCGTACTCATCACCATCTTCATCGTCTTCATCATCATCATCACTATCGTCACTTTCATCAACTTCGATCATTTTACCTTTTCCTTTGTCCTCTCTCGATATCCCTTTCCCTTTCCTGTCAATCTCTTCCTCCTCCTCCTCCTCTTCTTCTTCCTCGTCTTCATCGACTTGCTTCTCTTCAGCTTCCTTCTCGAGCGAAATCGATGATTCTGTCTCAATCTTCAGATTCTCGCCGCCGTTTCCATTAATTTCTCCGTCTTTGGACTCAGAATCAGCGGAAATCGACGGAGGATTAAGCTTCTGAGACTTGTTCGCCACATTATCCTGGTCTTGGCAACAGAGATCCGATTTCCTCTTCACTGGAAACGAAGAGTCCTGTTGATTCTCAACGTCCGCCATAGATGGAATCAATCTTCTTACAGAGTCTTGCGGTGGCTTCGAGGAAGATTCAGAGTTAGTTAGGGCTTTGGGCAAACACACAATTTTCGTAGGGTTTCTCAATTACTTATGCAAACTTCTCTACAGTTATTTTCTATTTAATTTATTAATTGGACTCGGCCCATTAGCCCATTGTTTTGTTGTGCCAGGGAGATACTAAACCGGCGTTAAGCTAATATTTACCGGTTTGGTTTTGTACTCGTTATTTTGTAATTCGAACCGGTTTATCAATTAAGATTTGAAGAAGTACAGATCCATCAGAGAAGAAGTCAGAAGAAGCCAAGGAGATTGAGAAACAATGACTTCGAGGTATTGGGTGGTGTCTCTACCAGTGAAGGACTCTTCTTCCACGTTATGGAATCGTCTTCAAGATCAGATCTCCAAGCATTCCTTCGATACTCCCGTTTATCGGGTACTCTGATGATTTTTTTTGCTCGATTTCGGTTGAATTCATTTGGCAGAGATCTTGTGATTACGATCTAATCTCTTCGATGATTTCGCAGTTCAACATTCCTAATCTTAGAGTTGGAACATTAGATTCTCTGCTAGCTCTCGGCGATGATCTGCTAAAGGTAAACTCATCTGATCACAAATTGCGATCTAATGCGTTTACCTTTTGTGTTGATGAATTTTTTTGATGAGATGTGTGTGCAGTCAAACAGCTTTGTGGAAGGAGTTTCGCAGAAGATTAGGAGACAGATTGAAGAATTGGAGAGGATCTCTGGTGTGGAGAGCAATGCTCTTACTGTTGATGGAGTTCCTGTTGATTCTTATCTCACTAGGTATCTGCTGTTTTTAACTCTTCACAAGTGTTGAGTGCTTATTTGGTGGTGGCTGGTGATGTAAAGAACCAAACTTCTTTTTTTTATTGGTGTCAAGGTTTGTTTGGGATGAAGCTAAGTACCCAACAATGTCTCCTTTGAAGGAGGTTGTGGAGAATATTCAGTCTCAGGTTGCTAAGATTGAGGATGATCTCAAGGTATTCACGCTGTTAAACCTTTACGCAGAATTATTAGCCGAATGGTAGTTTTAGTTTTTTTTTTAATTATAAATTTCTTTTGGTGCTCCAATGGATTCCTATGGTTCGAAAGATTGGTGTTAACGACTCTGATTGCACTTGTTGTTTAGGTTCGTGTTGCTGAGTATAACAATGTCCGCGGTCAACTCAATGCCATTAACAGAAAGCAAAGTGGAAGGTAAATTTTTAAATTTCTATCTCTTATTCATATTGTAAGAACAAACTAGAAACCGTGGGCAGTTTGTAACTATAATTTCCACTTTGTTGTCTCTACCTTCTGAGTTCTCCTTGGAACATGTTCTACCATGTGAAGGGTTTAGAATAATACCAAGTGATTTTCCAGAATAATGCTGTTGGTAGTTCGCAGCTTCAGCTTCTCTCTGCTTAGTTTTTTCTTGATATAGATTGTGTCAATGTGGCTGATCTTCCTCCATTTTTTTTTGGTTACAGCTTAGCTGTTCGCGACCTCTCAAGCTTGGTTAAGCCAGAAGATATTGTCGCATCAGAACATCTCGAGACTCTCCTTGCTGTTGTTCCAAAGTATTCCCAAAAAGACTGGCTATCATGTTATGAGACGCTGACCGACTTTGTGGTAAATTGATGTTTTGTTGAGTTTATGGACCAATTGTAGCACTATTATTTTTTCGCACAGAGATTTTGATGAGTTTACCCTTACTGTTTTCAGGTTCCTAGGTCCTCGAAGAAATTGTTTGAGGATAATGAGTATGCTCTTTACACCGTCACTCTCTTTACTCGTGTTGCAGACAATTACATGACAAGTGCCCGTGAGAAAGGGTTCCAAGTGAGTATGCTAGTCAAGTTCTTGATATGACCTTTAAAGCTTCCTTAGAAGTTAGACATAAATTACCTGCTAGTTGTAGTGGTATTTCCTTAGAACTGATTTCCCTCTCTGTGCACGTTACGAGATTTTGTTGATTCTCATCGTATGTTGTACACCGTTTTCTTTTAGATCCGTGATTTTGAACATAGCGTTGAAGCACAAGAGACTCGTAAACAAGAGCTAGAAAAGCTGGTTCAGGATCAGGAAAGTTTGAGAAACTCTCTTTTGCAGTGGTGCTACACCAGTTATGGAGAGGTACATACACATTGCTCTGTATATCTTTACTCTTGTAATATCTTTGTAGAAATCTAACACCCATCTAATACATCTGTAGGTTTTCAGCTCATGGATGCATTTCTGTGCTGTGCGTATATTCGCTGAGAGCATAATGAGATATGGTTTACCTCCGGCGTTCTTGGTAATTTAAAGACTCCAACCTAACCTATGCTTTTATAGAGAATCCTTCAACCTTTGTTTACTCACTGACCAAACTATCTCTTGTCATGAATTATTTTCCAGGCATGTGTCTTATCTCCGGCTTTTAAAAGCGAGAAGAAAGTACGCTCCATTCTTGAACGCATGTGTGATTCTACCAACAGGTGTGTTAAAAGTCTGTCTTTGTATCGCTCTATACATAATAAAAACTAATAACGTTAAACTCCATAGTTACGATCTTTGTAAGATAGAAATAGCTGAACTTTCAGGAGAAGAACAAAGAAGCAAGTACTTGTATTTGGTTATGAAAGCGAAACCTTAACTTAGAAAGATCATTAGTTGAAAATCATTACTCCACGAGATCTAAGGGTCAATTTATCTCTATATAGATGGTTGATGAGATTTAAATTCGAGTTTTCGAGTCTGATTATATATAAAAAAAAAAACAATGCAGTTTATACTGGAAAAGCGAGGAGGATGGAGGAGCCATGGCTGGTCTAGCTGGTGACTCAGAGACACATCCTTATGTCTCCTTCACGATCAACCTTGCTTAAGATTGATGAGAGATGCTTCTTCTACATCTTACACTCCCATCTGTTATATTTGTTTATGTTCTATATATATATATTATTCCATTTTATTATTCGTGATAAATTTTTGAAATAAAAGAAATAAATATGAAGGTGGGCACTCAAGAGAGAGATGTGACTGTAATTTTATTTTGGCCGGAGTCTTGTAGATTCTGATGTCTCATACTTGTGGAAGAAGAGAGGTTTGTTGTCATGTTGTTACCTGGATGCCCTTTTTAATATATTAAGCTGATTCAGTTTTTACTCCAATAAATAAAAAGAAAAAAGCTATCATTTTCAAACTGAACTAGTATGTTTTCGCCAAAAAAAAAGTACAAGTTCCGCCTAAATTTCAAAAAAATAAAGAAAAGTACAAGTTCCGCCCTTACTTTTATGCATCCACGAAAGTATGTCTTCTCTCTTCTGAATAGCTCACTGGAGTGTTTTCATCCTATATGTCAATTAAAGTGCAATGCCAAAATTACAGGACATAATGGAATTGGAAGTTGAAGCCTACTTGAGACGCCGTTATGAAAGACAAGTTGCTCATTTTCAGATTGTTGAAAAGGAAGATCTTCATCTTGTGAGCATTACCCCTGGACTTCCTCATTAGTTAACCTACTAGCTGATTAGTGTCTTCATTGTGCTGAAAAATCATCTATCTTGCCTGCCAAAAACATTCTTGTAACTCAAGTAAACGTTTTTATTACCTTTTTTTATGATATGACCTACCAATTTTGAGTTTAACTCGTCCAGATGTGCGGAGCGGGCAATGGTACAATGTCAGTATTTCCAGCAGCCAAGTCATACTAGAGAAGAGGACAGATCTTATCCAACTAACAGAAGTTCGTGTTTGTGCATTTGATATAGAGACAAAAAAACTTCCCTTGAAGTTCTCTGATGCTGAATCTGATCAGATTATGATGATGCTGAATCTGATCAGATTATGATGATATCTCCTACATGGTTGACGGCCAAGGTTTTCTAATTACTAACAGAGAGGTAACTGCTCTATATACATTTGTATTGCATTGAATTTGATCTCATGAGTGAATGATGATATATTACATGGTGGATGAGGACGCTTTGCTATATCATTTAAAACATTGTATCTGTGATTTGGACTAACATAACGTTTTGCTATATAATTTTAAAACATGGTATCTGATTTTTTTTAGTTTAACAACTTTCCAGAACGTTTCCTTTGTTGTTTTGCATGCATGACTACAAGGAAACTTATGTCAACGTGTTTTGCAGGAGTTGGGATTCCGTTGTGATCAAAACCAAGGTGAGTGTAGAGCTAAGTTTGTTTGCCATTTGGATTGTTTCGCTTGGGTGTAACGTGATAGGTACGTTTCTAATTGATTTTAAAAATCAATCTTTTTTTAAATAGAGAATTACTTGTTAAAGATATTCAGAGATGATGAACATAAATTAATCCTAAACGTGTTATTGAATTGAATCAACGAATTATAATCATTTCTGGTTTAGTAAAATAGTATAAGCAAAAGAAAAGAATTAACAAAAAAGAAAAGAAAACGAACCTAAATTTATCAAAAAATTATTTGTTGAACATGAAAATTTCACAGTCTAGAGTTTGTCCAAAAAGAAATACAAATCATGTATCTTTTTTTTTCAAATTCGTTCATTTATTATAATGGTGGTTTTTATAATATTAATTATTTGAGGCTAATATTGGATTTAATACAAATAGGTAACTAAAATTGAAGATTAAAAATGTTTTATTATATACTATTATCAATAAATCCAATGTTTAACGAATAAAAAAATCTTCATATTATTTATAAAATTAAAAATATATTTTATTTCTAATGTTTTCTAATTATTTAACTGAGATCATATTTTTGTGGGGTCAAATTTTGTTTTTAGTTGTGCCAAGAAAAAAAATTAAACAAAAATAAATATATTTTAAAAAGTTATTGGGATCAGCTGACCTCATTAGTCCTTCATTGCCTGCCTCCGCCACTAGTGGATGCAACAATATATGGCCTTAAGCCTGGAACCAACAACATCAGTGTGAATGGTGTCGTTCTAAAAACATTTGACGTTTATCAAAACATACATTTCACAATGAAAAACATTGATGATAACCAAGTTTGTGTTTTTTGTTGTGTGTGTGTATTTTCTCTTTTCTTATTGAACTAATCAATCATTGATTAATGTTTTCATAGATCACTATTGCTGGTCAAAAATCGATTTTTGAAAAGTCAGTGTGTATCCTCACAGACGGAAGACATGTTGTAGCTAAGCGTAAGAAAAATTGAACAAGGATCTAGAATTTATAATCAATTCTCAATTCCCAATAGACTTATAACGATATACATATGATGTTAAGCTACCACTTTTAGGTAGAATGGACAAAATGCCGTAGAAGTAAAACTTACACGTAACCCAAGAATTTGGCTGCCATCGTCTTCCCCATCTTGAAACCAAACACATTTTCACCTGCACAAAAAAGACACATACTTGAAGCAAGAAAGAGAAAGGAACTAAAATTGACCCTGAGAGAGAGAAAAGTCAAAATAGAAAATAATCAGATATCTAATCTCTTAGAGGCAAGAAATCTCTTGTTTTATTGTCTTAGAATCTAACATTTTCTTGATTGCTAGGTGATTCAATGTTTTTTGAACTTCAGATTATGTCATGCCCAGTTTATCAGCTATTTTTGTAGGTTGTTTGTTCCTCCACAAGGCATGGTCATTGAACAACGCCAGCTTTTTAGACAATTATGCCAGAAACTTTGGAGTCCTTCATATTAATGAAAATTTTACAAATTTTAGACAAAATCCTTGCCGATCATCTTCTCCGACTAGTAAGTAAGAAGCAACATATTTATTCAATATGCCAAAGAACTCCGGATTAATCCACATGCTTAACATTTCCTTGATATCAAAGAGATACCATGTCATTCTTTGGATGTGAAAAGCAACGAGAAAGATCATTGGAATCCGGAAAGATACACAAGAGACCTTGGAATTTCCCACTTATATTTGATTGTGGCCAACTTCAATTGTTTTTGTAACCCCCTTTCTTCTATGTCGGGAAGTTTCCCAATAAGGTTATTGTTATAGAGTTTGGAACCACTTGAATTGTTGTTCAATAGATCAAGGTGACCCAATCCAGTTGTATTGCACAATGAAAGAGGTATGTCTCCAGTGAATTATTATTGATGGTTGCTGGAATATTTGGAAAGGATCCATGAAAGGCGTTCGAACTCAAATCTAACTCTGGAAAGAAAATAAAAAACTGTTGTGCCAAGAAGGCACTTTCCTACAAGTCTATTTTCGGAAATGTCTAATTTCTGCTATGTGAAACGTTAATGTGAGCCAAGAACGAGAGGGTTGCAAGCTCTTGCGGGATTTTTCCAGTGGAGTTGGTTCTGAGAAAGGTCTAGTGACTCGAGACTTGTGATATTTGCCCAAAGAGGATGGAATATGACCTGTGAGCACATTAAGAGACAGGTTGAGCACATTAAGAGACTTCAATAGACCTATAGATTCCGGAATCTGTCCTCCAAGTTTGTTTTCGGAGAAATCAATGGATCTGTAGGTCACCAAGATCTTTTTCATCTCCATGTTTATTCCCTTGTTTCTCAAATACATGGTAGGGTAATAATCATACGCTAAATCATCTCCAAGTCTAGTTCCACCAAATTTGGGGATCCGGTATTAAGCCTTGATAGAGCATTTCCAGAAAGTAACAGAGACTCTAAAGACTTGAAGCCCAAGGAGACATAGTTGATTGGGTCGGTTGTGTTCTGAGAAGTTAGGTAGAGTTTCTTGAGGTTGGAAAATTTTGAGAGAGTCTCCAGGATTCGACCGCTAAAACGGTATTGCTAAGGTCTAACGCATAAACCTTAGATGATGAAGAGCAATTCCTAGTTTCAAGAGAGTCCATGAGATGGTTTTGGCTCAAATTGAGACTTGACATGAAAGGCATCGTGAGTAGAGAACAAGGAAAGTTTCCAGTAAAGAGATTATTGGAAAGTGATTAATAAGAGAGCCTTGATAGATTTAGTAGAGGGGAAAAACTGCCGATACGCTCGTTACCGGAAAGGTCTAACGCCATTAGACGGTTCAGGCTACTGAAAAGACTACTATTAGCACTGAGACTGCCACTGAGACATGCACCACTTAGGTCTAGTTCTGTTAAGCTGATACCTCATCAGAACTACTACCACTCCAGTCCTAACAAGGTTGAGTAGACAAGCTAGGGAAAGCACTTAATTTACAAGTACTACTGTTTCTACTGATATATAAACATATATGCATAAGTGTTCAGCTGGACAATAACACAAGGAATTATAAACAGAACACATTATTATTGCTTGGTAGCAAACAACTCAAATCAAGACAAAACATGTTCAATATAGACAAGAGAACTCTCCAGCGTTCATAAATCAAAAAGAGAGAAGTGAACGTACTATGTTGAAGCCCTTCACCAGCAGCTCGCAACTTCTCAACACCAAAAATAAAAAGTATGGGACAGATACAGTATAGTCATTAACACTCATGGATTAGGAGGAATAAGAAACGTGTTATCCTCAACTGCAACAAACAGGATAATCAATTTAATTTCAAGTTTTTAATTGAAGATGATGTTTGTTACTTTCATCAGCCTTAGTGATGTATTTCAGGTTAAATAAATAGACGTAATTATCTGACACAATTTATAAACTCTATAACAATTTGTGGTGGTAAAGAAATATGACCTGAATACATAATTTTTTTTATAAGATCATATATATATTTTTTCTATAACTTCGGCGTTACATGACAGTTTTAAAGTTAAAGAAGCATTGGAACTGTGTCGGTATGAGTGGATGCAGAGAGCACTTGAAGGAGTGTCAGATAGATCCTTGATACTGTTTGTAGTTGATTAGTTTTTTTTTTTTTTTTTTGCATTTTTTCTTCTTTTAGCTTTTGGATTCAATGAAAAGCTTCTTCAACCAATGTGAACTGAAACATGAGAAGCAAACTGACTTCAAACACATGTGATGGATATAATAATATATCAATTATATTGTCTTGAACTTTGATATCTTTCTCTGTTTGAAACTTTGGTAAAAGAATTGTCTTCATATGCAATTTGGACACCAAATGAAAGAAGACAAAGTGACACCAAAGAAAACTTAACTAATCACACACGGATCAATGCTTAAGGATTGAATTTAGACCATTAATAATCCAAATCCCTAAGCATGTGTCACATGTTCTCTTTAGTTAGGTTTCTTGACATTTGTGCAGTTTTTGTCTTAAAACTAAATGACAATGTCCTTGTCACAACTTGTCTTTGGCTCCATACATTCTTCATTGCCTTGGTCTTTTTTCTTTCCCTGTATGTAATGTAAAGACTCAAGATGAATAACCTCAGAGATAAGGTGTGGAAAATAGTAAGCAAAAGGACAAGAATGGAGAAAATATGAAACACTTTCTTGTTCATACTGACACAGTTTACGAAGTAGAAGTAAGACTTTGGTGTTGAATTCTTGTAACTCCCAACTAATTCCTCTTAACTTAATGCCAAAAGCCAAAAAGGCATCAATCAAGTTCACACAATCTTTTGCTCTTCTCTCTCTATATATAGATAATAGCAAGCCTAAAGAGACTCAGAGAGAGAAGCATTGATCTCTAAACACTGTGAAACATGTTGAAATCAAGGAACAAGAACAAAAGCCAACAAGAGAAGAAGTCACAAGAAGTGAAGTACCTTGGAGTAAGGAGACGTCCATGGGGAAGATATGCAGCTGAAATCAGAAACCCTTTCACAAAAGAGAGACACTGGCTTGGAACGTTTGATACAGCTGAAGAAGCTGCTTTAGCTTATGATGTTGCTGCTCGATCCATCAGTGGCTCTCTAGCCAAAACCAACTTCTTCTACACTGATAACATCTCTTTACAGACACAAACACAACCACAACAGTTCTTACAAACATCATCACACAAAGCTTTTTTTGTTAACCCTGTTCGGTCTTTGGAACCTAATATGAGTTTAGGATCTTCTAGTTTCTGTTTTCTGCAAGATCAGCCACAAGAAAACAACCATTCTGTTGCTGGTCCGATCTACTCTTATTTGCAAGAACAACAGCTTTCTGCTAATCTCACTAACAGTTTCTCACATTTTTCTCATGATGATGATCATGTTGGTAAAAGCCAAGAGGTTTCATTACCTTCTTTGCCTAATGAGATGTCAAGCAGTTTATTAGGCCGTCAGGACAAAACAGAAGAAGATGGCGATGCAGACAATATGACGCTTGGCTCTGTTCTCGGAGATGAAGCTCATTGCTTTGAGTATGACTTCCTCTTAAGTGGCATGCCCCTTTCTCTTCTCAGTGATTATAATGAAGATCCTCCTCAGACTATTGGATCTTCTTCATCTTTTATCTGATTCTAGTATGTAATCTAAAAAGTGTTGCAGTGTTATGAATTTAATCAAAGGGATGTAACATGTTTGAATAAAATTTATTACTATAAAATTGTAGAGCACAAGTACATAAACTCAGGAACTACAATTCTACATTCCGAATCATATAAACTGTAAAAAAAAAAGAAATGGAGCAGAGATCTTCACTTCCAGTTATTGGCAACAATGTCAGCCAAATCAACAACTCTCTGAGAGTAACCCCATTCATTATCATACCAAGCAATCACTTTAACCATATCATCTCCCATAACCATTGTGAGAGAAGAATCAATGGTGGAAGACACATCAGAGCACCTGAAGTCAACAGAGACAAGAGGCTCATCGCACACATCGAGTATACCTTTAAGCTCTTTCTCAGCTGCATCCCTGAAAGCAGCGTTGACTTCCTCAGCAAAAGTCTTCTTGGAGACTTGCACAACTAAGTCAACAACTGAGACATTGGGAGTTGGCACACGCAATGCTATTCCATTGAGTTTTCCCTTGAGGTTAGGGAGCACTAGAGCCACGGCTTTGGCTGCTCCTGTTGATGTTGGAACGATGTTTAAGGCAGCTGCTCTTGCTCTCCTTAAATCACGGTGGCTAGCATCCAATAGCCTCTGGTCACCAGTGTATGAGTGAGTTGTTGTCATTGTACCCTTTATGATCCCTAACATGTTCAACACAACACAAAGAAGTAACAACTTTAGTCTTTAAGTTACATTATGTAGTCATTACTATAGACTAATTATGCTTACCGAACTTCTGGTCAAGAACCTTGACGAATGGAGCAAGACAGTTAGTAGTACAAGAGGCGTTACTGATGATGGTATCATCATGGCTGTAAAGTTCAGCATTGACACCAACAACATAAGTTGGGATGTCTCCTTTTCCAGGAGCAGTGATTAAGACCTTCTTGGCTCCAGCCTGAATGTGCTTTCCAGCACCTTCTCTGTCCACAAACACTCCGGTTCCTTCGATCACAAGGTCGATACCTAGTTCCCTGAAACGTTTAAACAAGCTTTAGATCTACCATGGTTGATTAGATTGAAAGAATAACACAATCTTAAGTGTGTATGTTTTTAACTTACCCCCAGGGGAGGTTAGATGGGTTACGATCAGATACAATCTTGATGATCTTTCCATCAACAGAGAGAGCAGCGTCTCCTGAAGGCTTGACATCAGCGTCAAAGATTCCAAGAGTGGAGTCGTATTTGAGGAGATGGGATGCTTGTTTGACACCACCAGTGTCGTTAATGGCAATGACATCAAGAGGAGAGTCTTTACGACCATGCCAACACCTCAGGAAGTTCCTACCAATCCTACCGAAACCATTGATGGCTACCTTTAGCTTGGCCTCGGTCACTCCTTTCCTGTATCCACCATTGCTTCCCATCTACAACACAGAAAAACAAAAGCAACGTATATGGTTAAATAAAATGCATTCATGGCTGATCATGGCATGCACGCTTGTTCTTAATATATAGATACACAGTGGTGGAGGCATTAGACATAAGAGAAAGCTATTGAGTTTTTAACATATTGTGCTATAAGATGTATAACACAGAAGTAACAGAGAGGGAAGGAACTCACTGCAGAAGTCTGGAAACTGACAAAGGAAACAAACTCATCGGAAGAAGATTTCTTGCCGAAGGGAAGAGCAGAGGAGTTTCGAAGTCCTGAGAACTCAGAGAAGCCCTGTAAAGCAAAGACATAATAATATTTTAGATGATAAAAAAAACTTTTGAAGGGCAGTAAGTTTATGAGGAAGGATGATGAGACAAAACCTGAAGAGATGGTTTGGCAACAGAGAGAGTAGCCGAAGCCATGGCTAGCAGAGAGAAGTTGTGTATAATGTAATCAGCAGAAAAAAGAGGACAGAAAGCAAAGTTGAAGCATAGATCAGTAATATAGGAAAGGGAATGGCTGAGTTGGACGCAAAGAAGATTAGATTCTGGATAGCATTGTCATGCATTTGTATGGTTGTGATTTATCACGCTCTTCCCTCTTCACATTTGGTATATGATTCATCATTCACTCATCACTGATCGTTTCTCCTCACTTGGGCTTCACAAATGGGCTTCTCCATCATGTGGTCAGCATTTGCACAGCTATATGCCTTGTTCTCATCTTCCAACACACCTTCTTAGGACCATTGAAAAGTCAAAACTAGATACTCTGACACATCTTTGCTGCAGATAAAAATCACAGACTCTTATCTAGAGCTTTCATGTAATGTGAAGCCATTTAGAAAGATTGCACCTAAGCCAGTGCCAACCGTATTAAAGCTTTTGATCAAGGAGATGATGAAATGTACAGACTTGACATATTACAACACTGGAAGTGATGCTTCCCCAATCTACACAGTCTACTTGCAGGTCTATGTGAGATGTTTTCTCTGTAATTTTTTGTGCATTGATTATATCGAAAGCCATTCCAACGTGGGAAAACTTTATGAAATGTTATGTGCATAGTTAACTCTAGCTCTCCATAGTTCTAATCAAATACATAACTGAACATCGTTATTCACACAATATTGAGTATACACATTTCCCATGGACAAAGGATCATCCTTTCTTATCAATCATACATCAATTTTATTCAATAACATACAACCCAAGCGTTTGCATATTGAACAAGACCAAGTAGATTCATTAATACGAAACAGTCACTGCAAGCTTTACACCATGAGTGGGATAGATAGTAAACAAGAAGCAAGCAGACAACATAAATGTGGTAAAAAAACTAACGTGACAAGAAACTAATTAAACATCAATCAAACCCTGAGAATCTGCAGCTTCGTTGCAAAAGCAATAGCAACCCAATCAGGCTGAGAAGAAGACCATTGCAACTGCTCAATCTCAGCACCAGCAGTATACGCAAGAATAGGATCAAGCCCACCTTCAACATGCTGCCCCATCGACGAAATATCCCAAATCAAAGCCTGCGAATCATCCCCAGCAGTACATATATGCGACGAGCTATGCGGAGCCCACGCAATAGCATTAACACTCGCCTGATGCCTCTGCAGCTCCACAACAGGCAACGCCGGAAAACGAATATCAAGCACAACAACCTTAGCACTATCCATTATAATAGTCGCCATATACCTAGGATCCTGCTTGTTCCAACCAAGACGCACTAGTGGTGTATCAGGCTCAGAGCTCTCGTAGATTATCGTCGAATGTTCCTTATCACGAAGATCGAAAACTCTCACCGATCCATCAGCCGAAACAGAAGCAAACACACCAACACCGCCCCAGGCAATATCCAACACCTCTTTATCGTGCGCGATAAGCTGAGTATCAACGGCCTCGCGATCGATATCCCAGATCGTGCAGGTGGTATCGGTGCTGGAGGTCCCGATCCGCCGCGGCTCGGCTTCGTTCCAGTCGAAGGAAGTCAACGGTCCGCAGAACTCGCTGTTCTTGTTGCTGTTGAGGCAGGATTTGAGCTCGACGCGGGAGTGATCGTCGGCGATTCGCCAGAGGCGGAGGAAGTCGCTGGAGGTGGCGAGGAGATCGGGGCGCTGGCACTCCTTGTCGGGGATGAAGATGGTTTTGGTGGGAGGGTAAGGGTGCTCGAAGGAGAGGTTTGGATCCGAGCGGATCTCGCCGTTGGATTCGTCGAGCTGGACGATCTCGACGCGGTTAGGGTATTGCTCGAGGAGGCTGGAGATTGCGAGGCGGTACTTTTTGTCGCGGCGGACGCTCCAGTTCATTGCGTAGATTTGCCATGGGGCTTCGTATGTGTAGATCTCTGATCGTTTTTGTTGCTCGTCCGAAACGTCTTGGATCGGATCGCTGCTCGTTCCCATCGTGCTGGCATCTAGAAACCCTAGTAACCGCCTCCTTCGGCTTCTATCACTCTCTCACTCGGAGAAGATTGGATAATCGTTTAATTTATTATAATATTATTTAATTCAGTATTTTTTACGATAAACGCTGCGTTGCAAACAATACGTTGCCGTTAGAAGAAACGCTGTCGTTTTTGTGCAAAATGACAGCCGTTTTGGGTAAAATACTGGTCTTCATAGATTTTATAGTGGAAAATAAAACCAGAGACTATAAACTAAAAATATGCAGAATCCTCAAAGTTAAGACAATTACAATACAAATTTTCTAACAGATTAAGGAAGAGACAAGCTTTTAGTGTTTTATATAAGAAACAAAAACTTAATAATTTATCATTCTTCCGGTTTAAACCTCAAACACTTCATGTATTGATCTAAAACCAGCACCATCACTTGAATCAGAATCCTCATAAACTAGAATTTGGCCCAATTAATGCAGCATCAACACTGTTGTTTTGGTTTGCAATGTGAATAATAATTTATTCTCATCAGATCAAATGTAATAGAAATGCTTTAGATTCCTCATGAGGTTTCTTTTGCCTCATACTGTACATGAGAAACAGAGCATTGACTTATAAAAGAAGAAGATGCATTTGCATCATCATAGGCCACAATATAAATGAACCCATTTAAACTTCAACAGCAAGAAACAAAAAGAGATGATTAATTGATTCATATGATGTTTAGATTCGGATCGTTTCGATGGGAATCTGCAAAATCTCTGACTAATCGTTTCAATGCTCGACCGTGTCTCCCTTGCATATGTCCTCCTCCTGAACTGTTTAAGTTGCAGCTTTTGTTCTCAAGGTAATCGATTCCTGCACCTCCCAGAGCTTCTGACCATTCCCTCACTATCTTTTCTGCTTCTCCTTGCTTTAGATACTCGGTCGGAAGTGCCCACACCTGAAAACAAAACATAATCACCATTACAACAAACAAAACAGGGATGGAGTTTGGTTTTGAGGTGATCAAAAGAGAGAGAGAAACCGCTGAGTTTAGCCATCCTTGGAGAGATTTCCAGCACAAGATTTCTTTCCATGAAGTTCTCTCACATAAACTGCAGATTGCAGCTAACTGTTGAAGTATTGTAGAACACTTATGGACCTAAACCAAAAACAGAACCGAAAAAAGTGAATCACAGATTCCAGTCCATTACTAGTTTTAGAGGTTTGAGTTCTTTACCCTTGACATAGCTGCGACTCCAAGTAGAGCATAGACTAGATTAGACAGAAGTCCTTCTCCACAGTGAGATACAACCTGGACGGAGACGACACTGAATGATCCTTCTGATATGCTATTCACGCTTTCAATCATGGAAGAAAGCGAAACCTCCAAGAAATCTGTACATGTCAAAAAAAACACAAGTGTAAATTATGCTTTTGACCACAGAGGGAGAAAAGTTAATGACATGTTTTCGATAGTAAACCACTGCACACTTGCCTGACAAGTACGACATTGCAGCTAAAGCAGCACCTCGGTGCATAGCTGTACAACAAATAGCCGCTTTGTGGAAAGAAATTTCAAGAAGTGTCCCACAAGTACCCAACACTTCCTGTTTCATCAAAATAAACAGAACCAAACCTTCACCACAAGACTCCTCTTTGTTTTAAAAGATGGATATAAATTTATACACAAACGAGTAAATGAATGGATGGCAACACCTTATGACAACCGCGGATTAATGCTGATGCAAAATTCACATATGCTTCCACCAAATCGGGTTCTTGGTCGCATATATATGACGAATTTATTCCCATCAGCGATGATGCTTGAGTAAATCTCTCAAACGTAGTGATAAACAAGGACCCGTATTCCTCCTTGTGACAAAATTCTTCAGCGATTACACAGGCTGTGATAATAACAAGTGTGTCGAAAGGCAATCAATAACTAACTTGAGTCTAATTTATTTAAGCTAGCAAATAAAAATGGTGGCTAACGATTGAGAGCTTGCATCTTAAGAGATTTTTCATCAACAGTGGAGCCGTAATCTGAATTAAGAAACTTCACCTGTTCTTATGTAACATTCTTGGCTTTGAAATGACAGAAAATTTCTCGATAGACACTCTAGTACACTGGGGAGTAGCAGCATAAAGTGCTCACCTGTAAATAAGGAGTCAAAATGTCAGTGAAACCAACTATATTAAAAATCATATGCATACTAAGACTCTTGCAGTACGAAAGCAAGATATAATTGGTTTCTGAGAAACTATCCACTACTGTATAGGAAGCTTTGGAATAGAAACGTGATCCAGGCTTCTAAAGGCATAACAAGAGGAATGTAACTTAATAGAATAAGGAGATAAGAAGTCTGAAACCTGACGACTGAACTGCCACTGAAAGAGCACGGCATGCTGCTGCTGCCAAATTTCCACTCTCCATGTGTTCAGAGCTAAATAGCTTCTCCAAAATGGGCCAAAAAACAGTCAGCAAAGAAAGAAGTGGACCGTCCGCCACAGGGACAGATGACAGAGATGTCGCAAGGTGACTAAGTACAGTTCCAATCCTGAATCAGTGAACAAGTGAAGAGTAAAGTCACCAATCTTATTTTATATTCTTATCAAGTTTTGTACACCTAATAAAAACACCCAGAGTGCAACCTATTAATGATAATATGCAATAAAAAAATATGGCAGGGTGTTCACAGAAGCAGACCTGTAAAGACCTCTTGTAACAGAGCTCAACATCCTTGTGTAAGCGGCAGGATTCTGTCTACCAGAAGACTCAACGTCATCATCTACCTAGAAACATACATGGTATTAGTTCAAATTCTATTTCAGAGGTGCATCATCTGTGGAAATTTACCTTCTTTTTTCCTTTAATGCAGAGAAAGAAACAAACAGTTACACTTAATAATAACTCTAACTGAACAATATAAAACACTTACAAGTGTTGAGAGAACTCCATAACTTGACGAAAGCAACTGAGTTAATAATTTATTTTGTAGCTCTTTGTTAGCAACAGAGCCAAGAATCACAGTGATAGCGCTAATGACTTCTTCTTCATCTTCTAACGCCAAATTCCACTGCTCCAAACACTAATAAAGATAAAATTACAATGATTCAGGAGACAAGATATATGCATAAGTGTTATTTCAAGCTTGTTGTAAAAGTTAACGAAAGGGGTGCAAGAAGCTGATACCTCTCCTATCCACATTAAGATGTCTAAATTTGATGTTTCTTGGAGTACAGCTGGTGCATCTTCGCAAATTTTACGCAGAGCAGAGGCACAAGCATGTGTACAAATAGGTTCAGAAATGCCTCCAGCAAGAAATAATCTGGAAGCACAAAAAACCATGCCTTATTTAGATTATTAGACCAACTTATGTTATAGAATATTAACATACACATCTCCTTACAGGAGACTGAAAATACCAATTAGGAAGAAAAAATATATATATCTAAACTTCTAAATTGTATTATGTTGAACGGTCACTGAAGCAAGTAGACTTACAGCAAGGGTCTAGCATTACTTGGAAAAACAGAGATCCATCTTGAAAAGGAGCCAACAACATCTGCCAGTGATCTGTATACCTAAAAGTTAATTATGGTCAATTGTTGATTGCATTTAATGTACAAGAAAATTGTTGGTAAGCCAGACGAGAAAGAAAATCTATGAAATGACATACAACACATAAAAATCCCTTGAGTTCGCTGGATGGCCTGACAGAGAATGCAGAAACCAATTGCAAGATCATTGAAAAATCAAAAGCCTCTCCCTCTAAGATAATTTCGGAAACCTGACACAATGGAATCCTTGGTAAGAGAGGGATAAACAATACAAATTGCAACTTCTGAAAACAGTGAAGCTTAAAGATATCATCCCTGGAACCAGGAACGCAAAGTAAAGCAACTTGATTAGAAAAGAGGTCAGGTGTGCTCACTGCATTGAGAGCAAACAACTTCGCCTCAATCTCTCTCAATGGCATCGAAACATCTGAAGAAGGAAGTCCACCAAAAAACAACTACAGATATATTGGCAAGAAAAGGTTATAAATAACTGAATACTTTGTCACAGAACATGAAAGAGTGAAAACTACTTATCAATCAACCATCTAACTGAAGTAATACAAGACACCAGAGTAGTGTTGTTCTGTTCGAGACAAGTAAAGTAACAATCTCAAACACTCAGCATTATACAGAGCATGGTTCACTATCAGAAGAAAGTGAATAAATCCCATGAGAACTGATCTGATACGGAATAAATAGGGAAAGCTGTTTGAAGCGTGAGACAGAACAACAACAACAAAAATTCTGCCTGATTCGTAATACAAATTAGTCATGTAGCAAATACAGAATTTCATTAATTAATGAATTTTGAATTATGAAGTGAGGGCACACCTTACTCACAAATGTTGTAGGATGAAGTAGCTGACAAATATCTACCAAGAGCTCAAGAAGATTATTTCTAAAATGCAACAGGCCATCAGGCAGGTCAAGCCCTGGACTCTCATCACTGGAGGTAAACTCATCAACCTGAAGATAGATTGCTAACAAAATTTAGAAGCACGAAAACAACAGTATCAGCACAATAAATAAAGCAGTTGTTCAATAATTTATGACTCGTGAATACTCAGAAAATGGCAAACTAAAAAATCAAATATTACGTTGATACAGTGAGATTCGTTTTTCGCAAGGTATTGCTAGTGCTGCAACTAATATGATAGCTTAAATACAATTACAAAACTGAAATAGACATTAAACTTAAAAAAGTTTCTAAGATGTAACCTGAGCGCGCAGCACAAGGGCATCAACTAAAGCTGAGAAAACTGGTAAAAATATATCTTTCACACGATCTCTGTCACTCTGTCTGTTTCCACCTAGGCTAAGTATATACGTTGCAAAAGTAGACCTAAGATAAGAAAAGAGAAAAAAATAAATATGAGCTCAAATGCCAGAGAAATATTTCTGATAGGAGGAAGGAAAGAAGAATATTAAAGTCCACGTGGTCGTATATATACCAAAACT